TTTTTTATTGTTTAGTATCAAAGGAAAGTATGAGGGAAAGGAAAAGTCGAGGTTGAACATTTCCCTCTAGTTCACAATTTTTTTTCTCTCCAAAAGTGGGCGAAAATGAGAAGAAAAAGTCGGACAATATGCTTTTCAAGATAAGTTTACTTTATTGCCCTTCAATATATTCTATATTAGATACTAATTATTGTCTATGCCTGAAGACACAAATTAATAAAAAATGGTAAACAATAAATATATTTGTATTCATATCCAAAATTAAATCGTAAACATAGAGAAGAGATAAAAAAATTTAAACATCGATTTGTAGTGGGGATTAGAGATAGTGGGCGGTAGTGGTAGGGGTAGGAGACAATAGTAGTTATGGTAGCGGTGGTGGTGGTGACGACGATGATGGTGGTGGTGGCGACAATAGCGATGGTGACGACGGCAGTGGTGGTAATGGCAGTGGTGGTGTAACGCCCCAAAAACCCCCTTGGGTGATATTACATTCTAAAAACCATTCACCCCATGAGAGCATTACGTAAATTCATCACGACGAAAGTTCATTCATCAACCATTCATATTTTAACAAAATTTGGGCAGAGTCTCCTTTGTACGGGGAGCTTTACCCAAAACACAACCTGTACAATTATATTACAATTGACCACACCGGGTCCACATATGCATAACTATTGACCACACCGGGTCTATTTATCCATCATAAAATAAACTTTCATTCATCATATGCCATATCCACAATGCCATCCCAAAAGAATAGGCCAAGTATGACAAATATATTCCCAAAAGAATTAAATTACACTTGCAGTGAAATAACAAAATACTAGACTTTACATGATTTCAAAATAAACTCTCTAGTCTAGTACAAAAGAAATATAACTCTAGGCATCCAGTTCAGGACCCCCGTTCCCCTCTAGGGGAGCTTCCCCATGCACTGGTTCATCTACTTGTAACTCCTCCTCATAGACGAAATCTGAAAAGATATTATTTGTAGGGGATGAGCACTAAGCTCTGTAGCAACATTCCTTCCATACTCATACAAGGTTTAGAAAACAAGTAAAACAGTTCGGTCTTATTTTCCAAAATATCATATAACATTTGAAGTAAAACTGTGACATTTGAAACAGATCTCAAGTTTAAATAACAATAGTAATAGAAAGGAGCAATTTCAACTAAGTGCTAATAAACATCTATTACCAAAATATAAATCATTTCCCACACATGATATCATATTGTCCTCTCTAATGGGAGCATCCTTACAAGGAACCTCTCACCCTCAAGATTTGGTTTCTCAAGCATCCTTACAAGGAACCTCTTGAGAAAATCACATATTGTCCTCTTTTGGTGTGAGCATCCTTACAAGGAACCTCTCACCCTCAAGATTTGGTTTCTCAAGCATCCTTACAAGGAACCTCTTGAGATGGAATGAGCATCCTTACAAGGAACCTCTCATCCATGTTCATTCCAACAACCATACAAGATCACATCATCCCAACAATCATCACACATAACCAAGGATTCCATAAATCTCCAATTTACAAGCAAATTTCCAAAGATCCACAAATCCATTATGAGGCAATTTCAATAAACAATTAGGAAAATACAAGAGATCACCACCACATCATTTTCATTACTCACACAAAGCACTAAAGTTCTCAAAACCAAGCTTGAGCAAATGTAGAAAGAGAATTCCATATTTCCCCAAAAACTAGGGTTTTAAAGCTATAAAAGAAGTTTCATGGGTAATCAATCCTAACTTTGTTTAAGACATGCCATAATTGCAAGAAAACCAAGAAACAAGGAATTCCTAGCAAATACATACAAGTATGAGTCAAAACATATATATATATTAGCCTTAGCCTCAATGGACAAGCATGGAAGAAAAACCCCTACCTTGAATCAAAGTTTCAAACCACAAACCCAAGCTCTAATGACCTCCTTTCTCCCTTTCCTCCTTTCCTCTATCTTCCCCAAGGGTGCTAAGGGGTTTGGGGGTGAGAGATGTGAGAAAAAATGGAAGGAAATGGGCTGGTTTCTGTGTTTGAAACACAACAGTCCGTGACATCACTGTTCATGGGCTGAATTTTGAGTTTTTTTCCAAAATTACAGTTTTGCCACTAGAAATCTCCAATTTGATCCATACGACTACCCTAAGGTTTTTCGACGTTCCGGATTCATTTTTAATGTTATTTTAACCTAAAAACATTGCTTTTTATGATTTATTTCAAAACTAAAATAAATTCACACTTGGAACATTAAAATTTCTATTTTATTCCTTCGAACTACTATAGGTGATATCCTTACGATTTTAATATATATATATGGTTTATTCTTAAGTCATTACATATAGAAGAATCACTAAACAAGTACATTAATATATTAATGTAAACATATGGGGTTTTACACCTTTAAGTTCTAATAAGAAAGCACAACCCTTTACTATCCAAGGAGCACCATAGTGCAGATTTTTGGTCAACTTCATAGAATAAACTGATTTGACTCAGGTATTTCTAGGAGGTGTAACCTATATGGTTGGAAAGATATACGAGTTAGGGTTCTAACAAAAATAACGGTGCACAATTCGGACTTTCCAATAAAGAGTTATGATGAAATTAGCGAAAGGTAGTCTGCCGGACAGATTTTTGGACAGAGTAGACACTACTTCGTAATATGGACATAACTCCTTCCTCCTAGTTCCGATTGAGATAATTCAAGGTGATATGGAATCCTAAGAGAGAGATCTACAAATTTCATGTTTTAAGTTTTGAGAGATATGGACTGCATCAAGGTCGAAATCGAGCTTGATGTTACAGCCAGTGCACTGTTCATCCCTTTTTCATTCTACCAAATTCAAACACACATCACTACACATATCCCCATTTTTACAACAATTATTTACTATATATCTATATACATATATGAAAGAAAATGCGGGGTGTTACAGGTGGGGGTGGTGGCGGTGGTGGTGGTGGTGGTGACGACGACGATGGTGGCGGTAGTGCTAGAGGTGGCAGCGGCGGTGGTGAGGGGTGGCGGTGGTGGTGGTTGTGACGGTGGTGGTGGTGGTAAAGGTAGCGATGGAGTGGTGCAAAATAATATTTTTTTTTAAAGTACTTATGAGAAATAATTCTTAGAAACACTTTTAAAAAATTACTCCAAACACACTCTTAGGGCCCTATTTTTTCCTATTAAATTTAGAATTTTAATATTAGCCGTTAGATTAACTTTAAAGTAAAATTTAAAGCGATCTCAACTGCGAATAACAAAAGTCATTTTGTTTATCTTTTGAGATTTGAATTGTAAGCAATTTTATTATATAGATATATACACTACATTAATACATAATTTATTATTTAAGGGTAGAATTATAAATTGTGCATATATATTTTTTCTTTCCTTTCATTTTACATCCAAATTCAAACAATGAAAAATATATTCCTCTTACTTTTCATCTCTCCTACCAAACAAAAAAGAAGAAAAATAATTTTCTTTCCTTCAAAGATGAAAAATTTAATCTTTTCACTTTTCATTCCTTCTTTCTTTTCACCTTTCGTACAAAATGAATCATTAATAATATTAGCAAGGACTTTTCCTCTCGTTCAGGGCTGCCCTAGGCCACTAAGGTGGCCACCTAGGGCCCACACTTTAAGGGTCCAGAAATATTACAACACAGTTTAACTATGGGTAGTTATTTGTCTCTTAAGTTTGAGGCCAAAAAGTTCGATTTCAATCTACATTCAACTAAGGTATGTTTCCCTTTTAGGGCCCTTCAAAAAGAAAAAAAGAAAAAAAAGAGTATTACACATAGATTCTAAGAGATTTGTATACGCGTAACACTTACACTTCTATTGTTAATATCCGTTAGTAAATTATACATAGACCTCTTAAAATTTATATGCTTGTAATATTTAAATCCCTCAAGTTTAAAATGTTATATTTAAATAAAAAAAATCTCCAATAAAAGATAGAATATTAAATATTTTAATTCTTATAATTAAAATTTATGTTCTATTATGTTATTTATTAATATAAAATCAAAAATAAAAATCTAATTATGTCCTAGCCCATAATCAATTCAAGAGTTATAATAAATTAGATCAATAAATTAAATCCTAATAAAATTACTCTTGTAACAAATAGAGGAGTGAATATACGAGGGTTACTACTTTATGTAAAATATTGAGGTTTACTTTATTTCTTTAGTTATTTTATATCGGATGGTAATTTCATGTAATGATGGTAATTTCTTGTAATGATGATGATATAGTGTAACCAAAAAAAAAGACTGTTTAATACACAGACTTCAACCACTGCATTGTACAGGAAGTGTTGCACTGAAAATTTACTTCTGTTGATCTTAATCTATGACGTGGCATTAGGGTATTGGAAAACCATTAGTAATTGTAAAAGTCTGCATTGACAACGGATGCAGCAGATCTCAAAAACTCAACGCGGCGGGAAAGGGACAAAAAATTTCGCGCATGAATTAAAATTCAAAACTGTTATTTCAAGAAATCTCCCGCACTCACAAGCTCACCCCTTCGATCCATCTTTCTCTATTGTTCACCTTCCTTCTCATCTCTCTCTCTCTCTCAATCACAGACGGTGGAAAATGGGGGACACTTCACACCTAGAGAAAATGGGCAGAGAACTCAAGTGTCCCATCTGGTAATCTCGGTTTGTACATATACTTATATAAGTACACATACCCACAAATCTGTATCTGCTTGGTATTCTTTTCCCCAAGAATCTACTTGTGGGTCTGAGAAGCAACTAATATTTTCTGTTTCCTGTTTTTTCATTTGTTTTTGCAGCTTAAGTCTACTGAATTCTGCTGTTTCACTCACTTGCAATCATGTGTTTTGCAAGTAAGCTTCTTTACCATCACACACACACACATACACACTGTTATGTGCAGAACGTGTTGGAAGTGTAAAAGTAAGATGTTGATTCCGTGTTCTTATATATGAATTTTCAGTTCATGTATTGAGAAGTCTATGAGATCAGCTTCCAGTTGCCCAGTTTGTAAAGTCCCCTATCGGCGAAGAGGTATGTTTTTTTATCCTTTCGGTTCTTGTAAATTGAGGGATTAGACATGATAAGCTGTGTAATTTTTGTGAAAGTTATCTGCCACAAATCGGTTTCTTTTGTCTAAAATTAATGTTGGCTGTGGATCGAAATTAGTAAAAGAGAGTAAGAATAACATGATAGAGAAGAAACCCACTAATTATCTGTTTAAGTGGTGGGCCTTTGAGCATTACTTTCATTAGCTTTGAATTTTGTTCTAGTTTCTCTTATTTTGAAATTTCCGATGGGTCATATAAATGAAACCCTCTATGACCTATTGAGAATGATATCACCATGCAACAATGCCTCTGGTGCCCAAGAACTCCACCTAAAACACCTAATGTGGAGAGGTGCCTCCACATCACTTTGCATTTGGTAGATCACTGGGGTGAGCATGGTAGGTGGAAATGGGTGCAGGACAGGACTAATGGGCTGAAATGAGAAACTTCATCGAATCTGTTCAAATGTTTACTGCATCTAGAAATGCCTTTTTGGTTTTTTTTTTGCCAAAATGGATTATTTCATTACTCGGAAGAAAAGTGAATTTGTTTACTTGTTTGAAAAATGTTTTTCAGAATAAGATTCAAGTTTTTATTAGTCAGATTATGGTAGTTCAATTTTGTAGCCATTTGTTTCTTCATTATGGATTGACTTTAGAAGCATCTCTCTTTAGGTTCTCAAGTTGGAAACTGTGAGTCAATTTAGAGTCAACAGGGATAAGAATTCAATATTTGACATCAAATTAATTTTGTTTCTTCTAAAGTAATGTCATCTTTAAGGTAATCGTCTAGGCATGTGAGATTTTCAATTTGGACATGTACATGAATGTTAAGAACTATGTATTATACAAACTGATATTTTGGTTCAATGTAGATTATATAAGCTGAAAGTATAATGTTTTTTCACTTTGTTACAACAGGTCATTTTATCCTTACATTGCTCACCGATTTGTACATTGGATAATGATTGGGGAGGCTAAACACTATTTATGCTCTTGTAGACACATGCATTTCCATATATATATATATATATATATATCAGGGATTAGGAAGTCACACCAATATAACACAATCTCCAATCTCTATGTAAAAGATTGACTTTAATATTGTGTTTAATTTTAATCATGAAAACAACAGACATTGCTAAATATGGGGAAAAGCGAAAACGTGATGCAAGATAACTGTGCTTCTATTTGCTGGATATTGTGAAGTCATTGGACTTTTTAATTCTGCAACATGCAATTTGAATGGCAATTTGAGTGCTACAGTTTATTAAGTTGATACCTATGACGTGGATAACTTGGCTTATAAGCTAATGTTTGGTAACGCATCTCCATGTCTTCGACCTTCTAGAAAAGATCAACAAAGTGGTAACACATTCCTTATCATCCTTTTCTGAAAGCAGTGAATGAGAGCAAGAAATTGCGTAGGGCATTGTTGAGAGAATCAACTTGGTTGGATGAAGTGTAGAACTACATCACCAATGTTGTAATTTTGCGACAAATCTCCCTATAGCCAAAATACAGCCCTTAGTTTGGGACAAAGCAAATGTGTACAGCATAACAATCACATAGATGCTCAGTTGAGACAATTGGTAACATGCAAAAAGCAGAAAATTGTTCTTTAAGGAATGCTAATGAAGGCACCAATGAGGAGAGGCTGATTTAATTTGAAGGTACTATGAAGGGATGTGAAAAGATTAATGATTCTCTTATCAGTTGTGGAAACATGACTCTCTTCATCTCCTTAGTGGAACTGATCAATCATCGATAGGTTTTGCCTTTCGAAGTACTATATGATTTATGATGTTTTACTTGTTTCCAAAAGAGGTAAATTTCTATGTGAATTTGTTGCTTGGTCTAATTAGTATTCATGGTCATATTGTTCATATTCTTTTGACGCATGGGTTATATGCCATATCATTTCAACACTCAAACTAATGATTTTTTTTTTCTCACAGAGGTTCGCCCTGCTCCTCATATGGATAACTTGGTCTGCATTTACAAGAGTATGGAAGTTGCTTCGGGAGTCAACATATTTGTCACGCAAACTGCACCTTCAACTAAACTATCAGGTAATATTTTAGCAAGATTGCATGTTCGACATATTACAACGGTCCGGTTTGAAGGACTTATTTAATGTAAAATTCTAATAACCACTGATATTCTTAAAAATGCAGATATGCAAGCAGAACTTTTTCCCCATACATTTACTATCTTGCCTGCATATGTTTCTATATTACTAGCAAACGTTGGATTCTCTGGTCTTCTTGCTAAGAACAGTGAAATTTGTTCTTCTAGCTGGAACAGAAGTTTACTAGACACAGAAGCCAGTTCTTGTGAGTTCAGAGAAAGTGATGAATTTATAGAGTACATTAAAGAAATATTCCCTTGTTTTTGATAATGGCTTTGTAATATGCATATCCAAAGCATCAGGACAATTTCATATATCTCCTCAATAGAATCCCTAAGCTGTATTATGCTCTGTATGTTTTAATTGTATTATTATTTTATAACATAGTTTGGTGGATTTACAGAGATTATAACATTTAAACTATCACTTTTAGGGCTTAAGTGAAGTTTTATAAACTTATATATATGAGGGAATTAGTGTTTCAATTCTATTTAGCATATTTTAGAGATTCTGTTATTATCCTTTTCTAGTTGTACAGATGCAGGAAACCCACCTGAAAGTGATGGGGTTTGTGGAAGCAAAGAGACATCAGTCCAAGAGAATTCAAGAAGATCCAAAGGAAAAGGGTCAAAAGGATCAAAGAAAATTTTTGAAAGTTGTAGTTTGAACCCTGTTAGACCTTCCTTTCCAACAAAGAAAAGGGTCCAGGCGACGGACTATCCTCCCCCAGAGACCCCAAAACACCCTAAGCTTGATTGTGGGATGGATGAAATACCCAAAGATGGACCTAAGAAAAGTTCAGTCCTATTAGAGGAGAAACATGCTCTAAATGAAAAGGGAGATCCAGTATTTTCTCCATTCTTCTGGCTGAGAGAGGAAGAGGATGTAGAGAAGTCAAGTCAGCAGACCGATGGGGATCTTATAATGGAAACGCCACCAGATGCTCCTTGCTTCAGTGATATCAAGGAGTCAGATGATGAAGCTCCCTGTAAAATGACCCCGGAAGTAAGTATTGCTTTCAATCATTTGGTCAGTTCATGATGAGCAAGGTATTGAGTCCAAGTTCTATAAACATCAGGCCCAGACCATTAAAGATATATGTTGAGTGTTAGTATAGGTTGAATGTGAACTATTACTTTTTCTAGCCTTCTAGTTTCCCTGATTGTAATTAGAAGTTGTGGATGGCTAATTAACCCATACCTTTATGTGACTCATTAACTTGTCTTTGTTCCTCAAAAAAAAGAAAAGAGCATAACATCAAAACACTTCCTAAAAGGCCTTTGCCTTGAGTACTTGGGCAAGTTTCCTTTTTGTAGATTATAGTGCTAGCTTCTGCAGGCCCATAGCACAGAGTGAGGGCCTGAGTCAATTAGGGATGTTTACTTATAATTTCATCTAGTGTGACCTTTCCTATCATTAGATGCCCTTAAATTTGTTTTGAAATGCCTTCTTTACCTTGTGCAGAAGGGAACTTGTATGGGACCAAATGATGCAGATATATATGACAGTGAGATGTTTGAATGGACACAAAGAGCTTGCTCTCCTGAACTCTTTTTGAGTCCCATGAAAGTTCTGGTAATCCATATATCATCGTGCTATAACATTGGATGTAACATATGTTTTCTATCTGTACCTTGTCAAGTTTTCCTTTATCTTTCTTAATTGATCTGAGTTTTCCTTCCTCTTTCTTAATTGTTCTGCCTATTACTGAAATTTGTTATGGAATGCAGGTTGAAGCTACGGATGAAAACATCAATGTTAAAAAGAAGTGCAAATCTGCTTCACAAAGCAGTAAGGCAAATGAAGAATCTGCAATTGGGAACAGAAAAAGCAGGATACCTGAGATGGGAAATGACAACATGGAAACAAGTTTACCGACTTTGTCCTGTCCTAGAACCAAAAGTGTTGCCAAATCTAACAAGAGAGTTAGGAAGGCAAATGGAAGCACCCTCAAAAAGAGAGCCAAGAAAAATATATGTGAAGTAATTGGAATTAGTAGTGATTTACAGAAAGTAGCTGACTATGTTATTCAAGAGAAGACGTGTGACAACAATGAGAGTTCATTAAATCTGGTGAAAACTTGCAAACGAAACAAAAAGGTTGGCTTTGATGCTAGTGCTACAGGATCAGTGGCAGAAAATTCTCACACTTTATGTGCTGGGGCAATTCCTTTGATTCAGGGGGATAAAACTGTGGTTGCTCACTTGTCAGCTTCATCAGTACAGAAGGAAGACAGTGAAGGAAGTAAAAATCTGAAGAAAAGTGGAAAAATCAATAAGACAATGGATCCACAAAGGAGAGATCGTACAAGATCGAAAATCCAACAACTGAATACTGCTAAGAACATAATGCAAAGCAAAAACATTGAGGTTTTGACCTCTCAGGTGCTCAGTAAATCTCCTTCTATAAGTGATGACAAGGAAAATCATGATCTGGGTGTGAAATCCAGAAAAGTTCAACGTAAGAACACTAGTAATCTGAAATGTTTAAAGAAGGTGAAGTTTTCCATGGACAGTATATGCAAGGATAAGTTGGCTGGTGGAATTGCAACTATTCGAGAAAGGGTTGATGCAAAAGAAATTCACCATTTGAAGGCGCTCAAGGCAATTTTGATGTCAAAGTTATCAACGATTCATCAAAAATGCAGAAGGTTCCTTCCATTTTAAATGGAGTGGTTTTGCATAAATGCGAGACAATTCCCAACAAAATCCAATGTGCTTTTTGTCAGTCTGCAGAAGACTCGGAGGTATACTTAGCTTTTGTTTCAAAAGTGTTCCTACTTCCCCTCCCTTTTGATTGTCTACATTAATTGTCTTCTGATTATGTATGTCAATATGTTGCTTTTTCCTGTGAACCAAAATTACAGGTTTCGGGGTCATGGTTCACTACTTCGAAGGCCAGCCTGTCGGGGCAGATTATAATGGAGGCTTAAACATCACGCATGCACACAGATATTGCACAGAATGGTATAAATTCTGTAAAATAAATCGTCATACTACTATTTGATACTGCAGATACCATATGACAACTGCATGACTGATCATACAAGTAGGATAATTTTGGAAAATTTTAATCGGTATCCGGATTAGCAGAACAAGCATTCTCATTTACAATTCTATAAGTACTGTGATTTACATGTCCCATGAGTGCTTCATTTATACATAAATCTTTTGGCGTGAAAATATTGACAGTCTTGGGTGTCTCAAGTTATTTTATGAAAGATGTTTAAATTTTTGTATAAGTTTCATAAAGTTTGATCACTCAAGCACATTTTCAGGGCCCCTAATGTGTACTTTGAAGATGATAATGCAATCAACCTTGACACTGAAGTATCCAGAAGTAGGAGAATCAAATGTTGTTGCTGCGGAATCAAAGGGGCAGCTCTTGGATGTTATGATAAGAGTTGTCGCAAGAGCTTTCACGTTCCTTGTGCAAAATTGACCCCAGAATGTCGATGGGATAATGTAAGTGTCCAATAGATGAGATCAATATAAAATAGCAATGAACCACGAATTTACTTGATAATTTTTGCTTATTACAGGATAACTTTGTTGTGTTGTGTCCTCTTCATGCTTCTCTTAAACTACCAAATGAGACATCTGGATCTCAAGTGAAACACAAAAAGCAAAGTGTTCGAAAAAGGTGGGTTCAAATATTAACTAACAATCGTGAAATTTCTTGTGTACTGACCCCTTTTTTTGTTTCAACTGCTGAGCTTGTCAATTGACTTTTAAAGCTTCTCTTCATTATATACTCATTGTGTACCTTTTTCATTTTCTTCTGTAGACATTCTCATATCCATCATCCACAAGTCACCATTAAGCATGATAATAGCACATGTCGTAAGTGGAAGTCTCAGAGACCATCTGAAAAGTTGGTTCTCTGTTGTTCAGCTCTCACAGATGCCGAGAAGGTAAACAGACATCTGGATATTGTTTTTAAGTGGTGGGACATGTTACGAATTTTCCCATTGTGAAATTTACTAGACATCTGGAATTACAGGAAACTGTTTCTGAATTTAAGAGGTTATCTGGAGTTAGAGTATTGAAGAACTGGGATTCTAGTGTCACCCATGTAATTGCATCTACAGATGAGAATCGAGCATGCAGAAGAACTCTCAAGTTTTTGATGGGTGTCTTGGAGGGGAAATGGATACTGAGCATTGATTGTCAGTACATTGGTCTAATCCAGTTGAATCTGACATAAACATTAGCATTCTTAAAATTTTCACCAGGATTAGGACTACCTTGATTAGTATTTTCCTGTTGAACTATGCTTTTCTTTTTTTAAGATTCCTTTTTCTTGGTTTCTAATGACCTTGCAGGGGTTAAGTCTTGCATCAAGGCTGAAGAACTTGTTGATGAGCAACATTTTGAAATTGATATTGACGTCCACGGAATCAGGGGGGGCCCTCAACTTGGAAGACTAAGACTTTCAAACCAGGTTATTTCATTATCTAGATCTTATTTGAATAAAACAATGATTCCAAGTACTTTGAATTCAAGTGGCACTTTTGAAAGTGAAAAATTACTAGGAAATCAACTTATGGGAATAATATGCCTGTTAAATAATATTACAAAATCTGTCAGCTCAATCCTGTTGTGAATGTGATGTTGGCATCATGTAAACATGACTCATAATGCAGACTGCAATCTTCATATTGCTAATTTGTGAATGTGATTATTTTTTTAGTTGCCCCCGCAAGTACAGGTACTAGTTTGTTTACTTTTACTGATGTAAAAAGATTATAACAAAAAGAAATTAATACCAAAATTTCAACACTCAGTTTCCTTTCTGCCATTGCAGTGTATAATATAACTATTGCATTTTATTTCATTGTCTGGCCCACTTATTTTATTTTTTTGGGGGAGGGGGTGATGGATATCCTGCATTATCATCTAAGGTAGTCATCTCATATCGTAACCATGACTCATAATGCATCTACAATCTTCATAACACTAGTCTCTGTGGGTGATTACAATTTTTTGATTGTTGGCTATTTCAGTCACATCATAAGAAAAATTTTCAGCACTCAATATCCTATGTAATTGTATTTTATCGATGCTGCATTTTATGATTTAGTCTGCCTTGTTGTTACAACATCCTAAATAGTCTTTCTTATTGGGTTGATTACAAGCATTAATTAGGTATGTCACAAGCTCAATTTTCCCTTATTCTTTCCATCTTAACTCCAACCATGAGCAATATTTTAATACCTAAATATTCATCTTTGGCGTATATAGGTATAATAGTTTTACTTAGAATTTATGCAATGTAGACAAGGATTTGAAGATTAACTACCTAAATATTCATCTTGGTGTATATAGGTATAATAATTCACTAGAGACACATTTTGAAGCTTAACTACCTAAATATTCATCTTTGGCATATATAGGTATAATAGTTCACTAGAATTAATGCAATGTAGACAAGGGTTTGAAGCTTAACTACCTAAATAGTCATCTTTGCGTATATAGGTATAACTCACTAGAGACAAACATTTGAAGCTTAACTACCTAAATATTCATCTTTGGCGTCTATAGGTTTAATAGTTCACTAGAATTTATGCAATGTAGACAAGGATTTGAAGCTTAACTACCTAAATATTCATCTTTGGCGTATTTTGGTATTATCTATTTATACTAAAATTTATGCGATATAGACTAGGATTTGAAGCTTAAGTAAATATGTTGAAGCTCTGAATAATGCATTTTCTTGCCCACAGCAACCAAAGCTTTTCAATGGGTACGATTTCTATTTTACTGGAGATTTTGTACCATCATACAAGGGGTATCTCCATGATCTTGTAGTTGCTGCTGGAGGAACAGTTTTTGTACAGAAAGCCTGTTTCAGGAGACCAGGAAGCAGCTGTGTCATCTGGATACTCAAAATCACCAGTATTCATAATTTATAGCCTTGAGTTACAAGAGAAGTGTGCTCCAAGCAAGAGAAATTTGATATTAAGCCGTAGGCGAACTGATGCAGAGGAGCTAGCGAGTTCAACTGGGGCTATAGTAGCAAGCAATTCTTGGGTTTTGAACTCCGTTGCTGCCTGCAAGTTGCAAAACTTTGCAGAATAGTGATGCTTCTTGTTTACAGTCTTATAGTGGTCATCAATTCCATAGCTTATCAGTTTTCTTCAATTATGGTTATATCTTATCGCATGTATAATTTTCCTATTTTTATGTATAATGTTACTACATAAAAACTGTTTGGAACACTTGTGATTCTGCAAAATGTCAAAGCCAGTAATTTGAATCTTAACAGCTAAGGACTGTTTCAGAATACTTTGGTGATACACATTATCAATTACTTCTTCTTGTTTTCACCACTCAATTTCGGAAATTGCACCTTTGTTCATCTTTATTTTTGTCTATTGATGTTTAAACGTTTCCATATGCATTATTGTTTTGTTTACAACTTGAATTGGATCACCAGACCATACATTGTTATGCCATATTTTGTATTGATTTGTTCTTGATCAAATGTCTACAGGTTTTCTGGCCTTCTTTGTCTCACTGGTATCTAAATTTCCCTAAAACGTGCCCACCTCATGCTATTTAACCTTTTGAAAAGTCCCAGACCCAAAAAAAAAAAAAAATCTGAAATGTTGCTATGTAAAAGTTTTTGTTAAAATATAGTACGTTCTAGGTAAATGCTTGAACTGAATCTGGAACTATGTTATCAAGATATCTTGCATGAAATACACTACATCAAGTTGCTACAACATAGAGTAATCTATAAACACAGGTAATTCACCGGATGCCTCACAGTTATCCCAGTTTATAATCATGGAGCTTTCTTATTATCTCCATTGGGTTTTACTAATAAGATAGAAAGAGATGTTCTCGCTTGTTCAGTATAGCTTGAGCTTTGCCCTATCTTACTGGTGCAGAAGCTACCACAACAAAAAGAAAATGAATGAAACTGATTCTTCCCCCTCTTCCATTTTAATTAGTTTCTATTTGTTCATAATTCATGAATAGTCTTGTAAATATGGGATAGATTATGTTGTATGTAATTATGAAGTGATAGTGACAAAGAACCAGAGAAAGTTATTTTAAGGTTTACTAGGAACATCGAATCTTCTGAGTTCCGTCTCCTAGTAATGTCTTATATGCACAAAGTTTTATGACCGTCAGTGGTTTTCATTAGGTTTCAATCGCAGATATCTTAGTATAAACGTGTCTTTGATGGTATTGCCCTGCTCAATATAAGTTTGAGCAACAAATGATTTTCCGCGAACATACCAATGGAGGAGGGGTGATGTAGATCGTATTAGGGAATAATTAGGGATGAGAAGGGAAGAAGAAAGGATGAGAAAATAAGAAGGGGATGAGAATAGAGAGAGAATTTTAAGAAGAAGATTCAATATCAATAGTCAATAATCAAAGTCTACCAAAACAAATAACATATCTCCTATATATATATAGAGCCCACAAATCTTAAAAGAACTCTGAAAGAAATAAATAGTCATAATGACAACTAAACCCCTGAAAAGCAAAATATAATCCGATTTCTATCATTTTTCCCTGATTGAAAAGAACTCGCCTCCGGAGAGATACAATCATGATAATGCTCTAGAAGATTAGGGTCAAGATGACGAAACTCCTCCTTAGTAATCCATAAATCATCAATCTCTGGACGATCTCTCCACCGAATAAGATAACGACGATATCTTCCATTCGAGGAGCCCACAATCTGATCATTAAGTACATCTGCAATCTGGTCATGCAGCTGTGGTGGAAACGGTGGAAGAATAGGAACTGTAGTTGATGCTGATGACGAAGCAAGTCCACCTGTAGGAACACCTGCTGGCAACATAGGAGGCTCAAAAGTACCATGATAAGGAAACAAGTCATCCACATTGAAAATAAGACTAATACTTATATTCGAAGGTAAGTCAAGGTGATATGCATTAGGTCCAAGCTTACGAAAAATACGAAAAGGGCCAGTGGCTAGAGTATGTAACTTTTTGAAAGAATTTTTAGGGTAACGTTCAGGACGCACACAAACCATGACATAGTCTCCCATAATAAATTCTTTATTCCTACGATGAACATTTGCAGCCAATTTATAATTCTCATTACTTAATGTAATTTTCTGTCTTATGTCGGCATGCAAGTCATGAATATGCTGGGCAAAAGCTTCGGCTGAGTGTGAGGGGCAGGAATCAGGAGGTAAAGGTAATAAATCAATGGGCTATCTAGGGGAATGACCATAAACAATTTCAAAAGGGGATCGACCAGTCGACCAATTGACGAAGTTATTATAGGCAAATTCAGCAGTAGGCAACAAAATTCCCAATTTCCCATCTTCTCACCCACTAGACACCTAAGCAAATCTCCTAAGCTACGATTAATTACCTCAGTTTGACCATCAGTTTGGGGATGAAAGACAGAGGAAAACTTAAGACTAGTTTCAAAGAGTTTTCAAAGTGTCTTCCAAAAATAACTCACAAACTTGACATCCTTATCGGACACAATGGAAATAGGCAACCCATGTAGTCGGACGACCTCTCTAAAAAATAACTTTGCTACATGTGAGGCATCAATAGACTTAGTGCAAAGAATGAAATGAGTCATCTTAGAAAACCTATCCACAACAACTAGAATGGAATCATGATTACGGGTTGTTTTAGGCAATCCTAAGACAAAGTCCATACTAAGGTCTCTCAATGGTGTGTGTGGAACTGGTAATGGTGTGTACAACCCAGTGTTTTGTTCCCTAGCCTTTGCTAACTGACAAGTGTGACACTGTGACACTATCCTAATAATGTCACGCCTCAAAGTGGGTCAATAAAACCTATCCTCAACAAGTGTCAATGTCTTATCCTGACCAAAGTGGCCTGCCAAACCTCCCGCATGTAATTCCCAAATCATGAAATCCCTAAGTGAAGTACGGGGAATACATAAGCGCGACTCTCTAAACAAGTAACCATATCTAAGGAGGAAGTCAATGTACTCATAACGGTTACCAGACTGAACATCCTGAAAAATGATATCAAAGTCAGGACAAGAGGCATACTCATCTCGAATCCTGTCAAAGCCGATCACATAGGCACTCATAGTCTGTAAAACAACAACTACACGGCTAAGAGCATCTGCAGGCTTTTTTTCAATGCCCGCTCAGTGGTGAAGAACAAAAGTATACTCCTGAAGGAACTCAGCCCACCTAACGTGCCTAACACCCAATTTTCTCTGGGAATGAAAGTATTTTAATGCCTGATGATCAGAATATAACACAAACTCAGATGGCAATAGATAATAACTCCAATGGCAAAGAGCTTGTACCACAGCGTAGAACTCTTTGTCATATTTAGAATATCGTTGTTTAGCTTTATTGAGTTTTTTGCTGAAGTAAGCAATAGGATGACCCTCTTGACTCAAAAACTCCACCTATCCCTACACCAGATGCATCACAGGCAACCTTAAACACTTTAGAAAAATCTTGGTGTCGAAGAACGGGTGCCTCTGTCATCCTGTGCTTAATTTCTTGAAAGGCTCTAGTTGCAACAAGTGTCCATTGAAACTCCCTATTTTTCATGCACTCTGTGATGAGAGCCATAAATGAACTAAACCCTTTAATAAATCGTTTATAAAAGGTGGCCAACCATGAAAAATTTGAACCTCAGAAATTGTTCTTGGCACTGGCCAATCCCTAATAGCACGAATTTTCTCTGGGTCAACTGCAACATCATGCGCAGAAATAACAAACCCAAGGAAAAACACTTGAGTTGCATAAAGGAGCACTTCTTAAGGTTTGCATAGAATTTTTTTCACACGTAATGTCTGCAAAACCTGTCGAAGATGATCCAAATGCTCTTCTTTAGACTTATTATAGATCAAGATGTCATCAAAGTAAACTACCACAAATTTTCCTAGGAAAGGACGCAGTATCTGAGTCATAACCCTCATAAATGTGTTAGGTGTATTAGACAATCCAAAAGGCATGACCAACCACTCATAAAGTCCATCTTGGATTTTAAATGCGGTTTTCATTCATCTCCTGGTCTAATTCAAATTTGATGATAATCACTGCGCAAATCAATTTTGGAGAACAAAGTGCATCGGCTAAAAGGTTAAGCATATCTTCAAGTCTCGGTATAGGAAATCGATACTTGACTTTAATTTTGTTAATGACATGACTATCAACACACATTCTCTAAGAGCCCATCTTTCTTAGGGGTCAACAAAGCAAGGAT